CCCCAAAACCCCAAAACCCCAAAACCCCAAAACCCCAAAACCCCAAAACCCCGAATAGAGAGATAAGGATTGAGCCAATGATTTATTTTATGTAGAAGTCTGATGGCATTGAAGTCAGGTTTTTACTAGAAGGATCTTGGATCTTTGAATCAGGAGAGTTAGGGTTCTCTGATGAAGTCTGGCTGTTTAGTAGTTGGTGATTGGATGACTGCATTTTGTGTTCAGAGTCATGCAGGTAATGTTTGGAGGGCTTATCAGATTCGATGAGCAAGGCTATGTGTCAAGGAATAACTTACGAGTGTCTATGTGGTCAAGGTTTGATCCTCTGTTGTGTCCTTGAGGCATCATTGATTTGGTTTGTTTGTAAGAGAGAGTGAGAACAATCAGCACTCCAATGGAAGGGAAAGTTTCAACATAGTAGCAAGCCAAGAGCCCGACTCCATTGATTTTGTTAAATGTAGAATTAGAATCTTTTTCTGAAGAAAATTGACGAATAGCATCTAATAGTAAGCTGGCACTTCTGAAAAATATTGATGTTGAGATGACCCAGATTAATATCTTGATTGTCATTGCTTTCTCTTCATAGAGAATTTGCAATTGCTCCTTGAGAAGATGAAGGAAATAGTTTCATACTACAAGAAGCATTATTCCAGTGAATGAGTCGATGACTATTGTTTCTATCAGAACAAACTTTATGTACCCATTATGGATCAGTGGAATTATAATGAAAAATGCAGCTAGTACGAAAATGAGTACTCAGTAAAACACCTTCAATTTCTTAAGATTTCTTTGGACCATTTCTGCTCTTATATCTGGAGTGACACTCTCATCATCATATCTTCTTTTTGCTAAGATTCAGAAGCTTATCCACCTGAACAGATAACTAAGCATAGATATCCCGTGCAGGAAGATTGGGAGCCGCACAATGTATTGTCGAAAATAGTTGTTATCTTCATCTTTGAGTTCATTAAAAATGACATTTCTTTGATGAATATAAATATAGAAGAGCTCTACAACTCTCGTGATATATGCTAGCATGAGGAACAGTACAATAAATAGCTCCAAAGTAGAACTCTTTGATTCCTCGCTTCCAGTACTTCAGAGTTACTGCCATGAGGCAGATCATTAGTACAAAGTTGAGGAAAATAGATGTACCTGCTATAGGCCAGAGCTGTCTGTATGTTACCATCTTAATAATATTTCAAATATCTTATTTATACTGGGGTTTTGGGGTTTTGGGGTTTTGGGG